ACAATTTTCTTTAAAGATTCTCCTGGATGACTAAGGGCTTTTTCTGCTGTTATCACCTGGGATCACTCATGCAGCTGCAGTCATCGGATGGCTAAACAGGCTTAGGTAGTCCAAGATGGTTTCTCTCACATGTCTGGCAGTTAGTGTTGGCTATTGCTAGGGTACCTTGGTTCTCCCTGTGGCCTCTCAGCTTCCAGTATACTAGATTGGGCTTCATCACAGCACTGGGGGTCTTACTGAAGTATTCCAAAAAGGCAAGTCCCAGTGTGAATACACTTACCAAGGCTTTTCATTTGTCACGTTTGCTAATGTCTTATTGGCCAGTGCTGGTCATGGCCAAGCCCAGAGTCATTATTGAAGGGAACTTCAACTCCACCCCTTGATGGGAGTAATGCAAAGACTTTGTGGACATTTTTTAATGTCCATAGAAAGAAACCAGACTTAAAACAGCAAAGACCAATGGTTAGCAAAGTTTCTCTTAAAGGGCCAGATAGTAAATATTTTAGGCTTGCAGGTCTTAGGTCTGTAGTATGAAAGCAACCATAGACAATGTATAAGCAAAAGAGTGTAACTGTATTCCAATAAAACTTTATTTACAAAAACAGGAGGCCCTGCCAGACTTATAGTTTGAGCATCACTGTTAAAGACTATTGTATGTTGAGATGGACATTTAGGAGTAAAAATGAGAGGAGAAAGCTCCCAAATGTTGACCCCTTTGAGTCCCAAATTGATAAGCATTGACATATTTCCTAGGAATGGCTCTTTTTAAAAAATCTGTTCTCCAAGAAAGAGAATCCAGAGAAAGTCCAACAAAAGTTTCTCCTGGTGTAATTTTGGAAATGAGTTGAACAGTGACTTGAGCATTATCAGACCTGATTGAGCACCTTATCAGACCTGATTGAGCACCTATCATGGCCAGGACTCTATCCATGTTTCGAGGATTCACATAAAAATACTAGCTATATTGAGTACTCACTTTATAGAAGTTATTTTGTTTCATGCTTAGAATAAGCCTAATAGATCAAAGTTATTTCCCCCATTTTAAACATGGAAAAATAGAACATTAGAGATGTGAAGTTACTGTTCCAGCTAATACTAGGTTTTTAAGAGTCAAGATTTTAACCAGAACTTTTTCTGTGCTCCTTCTATACCAACACATTACCTTTGCCTTTTGGATTTAATTTAAGAGGAAAATAATGTAGAAGAATAACTTATTCACAAGGAAATTATTTGGTAATAGTTATAAAAAGGTATCCAGGTACAGATAGAAGATAGTGAATGAATAAGTATTGGTAGTTTTCTCTTACCCGGTGTAAAATAATGTGTAGTAACAGAAAATTTGAGGTATAGTAAGGTGAAGGGAGATGATTGCCATTGAAAAGATAATTTGTTAATCACAGTTCCCAAGAACAGGGAGCATGCCACACCACAGTGAGCCCTACAGGGAAACATGGGGTAGATCAGGAGGCAGAGGCAGGAGGAGGAATTGAGGGCAAGAGCCTTTATTGTGGTTTTCATTGGAAGGAACAAGTGAGGCAGGGTAAGCAAGTTTAGAATTGGCTAGTTCGAATACATTCATTGGTCTCTGTGGCATAGGGGCTGTCCCTAGTTCTCTGGTACCTGGCCCTGGGGTGATCAGGGTGAGCAGATAATGGCCTGGAGTATGAAAGCTTGAAAAAGGAGGTGGGTTGGGGTGTGGGCTTTGAATTGGTTGGTTTGTATTTGAAAAGTGCACTCCAAGAATTGGCTAACCCTGGGAGAAACAGTCCCTCCAAGGTCAGCAAGGCCCCAGATGTCAATGCATCAGAATACAAAAAATAAAAGACATGACTAATACACTGCCACTACTACTGTAGTGGATTCTATGTCCCTCTAATTTCTGCCTTTACTCCCAAATGACTGAGAAAATATCCAAAAATAAGGAAGGAAGCAAAACAACAAAAATTTAAAAACCCAAGCAACCAAAATAGGTGTTAGCAAATCCATGCACCAAAAGTTCTTAATTTTATTTTATATACCTTTCTAAGAAGCTTGGTTAGCTAATTTCCTAGCACTGCATGCTGGAGTCTGGCAATGGTACCTGCCAGGACCCCAAACAATTAATGCGGAGTGATTCTTGCATATCACAACTTTCATCTATCTTCAACCACAGTGGAACTGCATTTCAAACTTTTTAAAATTCATATCAATGTTAGCTTAATACGCTTTAGACAGGTTGTTAGGCAAATTACAGATAATTACATTAAACAAAAATCAAAACCAACACATCCCTCTTTAATGACATCTATAAGAGCTTATGTTTCTGCACATTATACTTTGTCATTTAATTACTTGCAAAATCACGTGTACTTGTGAGTGGGGAAAAAAGCTAGGCAAGCTTAGCATCATGACTAGTTTTGACTTCACAGGCACTGACCATATCTTCTTAACATAGCTGCCAACATTCAGTCCCTCTTGGAATTAACTGGGAGGCATAAGGCTGAGTAATCTGTCACCTCTCATGGGGTGACATGAAAATCTGAATTCTAAAACCTAACCCCAGTGCTAAAGCTTTCAAGAAGACTTGTGTTTTTTTTATTTTATAGCAATGCTTCTATGTACTTGCATGAGTTAAATGTTGGTAGAACAGATAGTGGAGGATAATATAACTTGCCTAGATATCAAATACATACAAGTCCTCAGGAACTGGCATAGTGGTGGAGATGCCTTGTTTCCTGGATATAAATTTTTGTATCCTCCCACTTGGACAGTTAAGATGGCTGAGTCGACATTTTTACTGTTTATTAATACCAGAAACACATAACAGTTGGAATTTGAGTCAATTTCTGGTAAGGCAACGGATTGTATACTGATAAATTTTGTATTTATTTTTTTTGAGAATTGTAAAATCATAACGAATTTCACTTATTTGGTTTAACATATGGAGAAACTGAGGTATATAGTGGTGATACTTAAGGTGAGCATTATGCATAGACAATGGAGTTTACCACCTATATAGTATGATTTGATAGGTGCTTAAATTCCTCACTGCCCCAAATTTTGTCCCCTTACAATCTTTCCGCATACTTGTAATTCCTACTCTTTACAGTTACTCCTTTAGGGCTATCTCAAGGTTCACAATAAATGCTTATTTGAATGATCAAACAAATGAGAGACTGAAGACCTATAGTCACTTAAATTGAATATATCCCTTATTTGAAAAGGATAACAAATTATTGGCTAGAGCATTATTTAGAATATATGTATATGATTTAACCCATTATTAACTTGCTAGGTACAGGGCTTTGATGGATTGGGATCCAGTAGGCTGATGTTCTATGCAGTGAAGAGTTCAAATTCAAATTTTGAAGTGTTCTTCCCATTCTGTTTTCAGCTTGCTTATATGCTATTCAGAGCAATAATGACTTTATACACTACAAATGATAAGACAGCAGGACAGTGCTCTGTGATATATATTAGTCAAAGGCTACTGGAGCTCTGAGGAGGGAATAACATACATTGCCTGTGGAGTAAGGGTGAATTCAAGAACTGGTATCCCTGGAGCTGCATTTTGAAGATGTGGAAGTTCACGGAATACAGTACTCAAGGAATAGTCTTCCTCCAGGATAGAGTATGGAGTGAACAGTGGCAGAAAAGGCAGAACAAAGTCATATTGCAAAGGGCCTTAAATTCCTTGCTAAGAAAATTAGAGTGAACATGTATGTTCTGGAGAATCTCATCATTGTTTATGTTGCTTGGATAACTTTCAGCGGTGTGGAAGATAGACTTGGGAATCACTATGGTTTTTGTTTGTTTGTTTTGGTATTTGACACTATAGTACTATAGACCTGAGTGTCATTGAAGTAGCCTAAATGTAGATCTGGAGTTTCTCCACTGGGGACCACTTACGGGGGTACTTTAATAGGTGGAAAGATGATAAGAGATTAAACCAGGAATATCTCAGTAGCAATGGAGAGGCAAGAACAGATAGAAAGATTTCAGGGACAGCATGGGAAATGTTACAACTTCACCTCTGGGTGAGGCTTTCTTTGATTCACTCTGGCAAATGTGTGGAATGTATTTTAGGCACATGTTTGTTTGTATGCCCAAAAGCTCACCAGTTTCTTTAAGGTGGGGATCATATCTTTTTATCTCTCTGTTCCTAGAACAGTCCAATGACACGCAAAAAGATGGTCTATATGGTTGTTGAATCAGTGGAAAATAGGTATTCATATGGGCTATCTCACAGTAAAAGCATTAGCATTAAAGGTTCACTGATAACTAATAAGACACTACACTGATTACATTCAGCCTAACCTTTCTAGCGATTTCTTTTAAAACCCTTATAAGATGGTAAATTCCCCATCCCACACATAGCCATAGCTGCTTGAGTAATAGCTTCAAAATACCTTTTTTGTTTTTTTTTTCCTATGTGCCAGGGAGTGTTCTAAGAAGACGTTAATCTAGACTCAGATGATGGTCCGGCGTGATGGTTCATACCTGTAATGCTACTACTCTGGGAGGCCGAGGTGGGAGGATCGCTTGAAGTCAGGGGTTCCAGACCAGCCTGACAAAGAAAGAGCGAGGTCCCAGCCCTACTAAAAATAGAAAAAGTTAGCCTGGCGTGGTGGCCCTATGCCTGTAGTCCCCACTATTCGGTAGGCTAAGGCAGGAGGATCGCTTGAGCCCAGGAGTTTGAGCTTGCAATAAGCTATGATGACGCCACTGCACTGTACCCCGGGCGACGGAGCGAGAGTCTCTCTCAAAAAACAAAACAAAAAAATCCAAATCAAACAAAAACAGAAGATGGGAAAGACCACTTTCCATATCAATTAAATGGTGACCGCAAACCGCATCCAAGTCCCTAAATCCCAATTGCACGCCCGGGTTTCAGAGTCAAAATCGCTGAGGCCCCGATTTCTGGGCGGATGCGTGAGTATGTTACGGTGGATCGATTGCTTTTGCCTGGCGGAGGCCTATTACTAAAGGACCACTTCCGGAAGAGCCACGGCGAGGAGATGAGTGAAGGACGTATTCGTTTTGGCTAGAGTTTGGGCCGCTGAGATTTGGGAGTCAGCGCCGGGCCTGATTGGAGATCTAAGTGGGTCGAAGGATTTCGTCATGTTTGCACCCGAGGTGATGCGTGCCTTGCGCAAGAACAAGACCCTTCGCTACGGAGTCCCCATGTTGGTGAGTGGGATGAAGAGAAAGTGTGGTGCTGGAGTTCCGGAAGGGGTGGAACCTCTTCTCAGGCGGGCTCAAGACTGCGGGGTACGTGTGATGTGTGAGGCCAAGGACTTGCGCCCGGGCTTGGAAGGAGCTGGCGATAGGTGTAGAGTTTTTTTTTTTTTTTTTTGAGACAGAGTCTCGCTTTGGGCTAGAGTGAGTGCCGTGGCGTCAGCCTAGCTCACAGCAACCTCAGACTCCTGGGGTCAAGCGATCCTCCTGCCTCAGCCTCCCGAGTAGCTGGGACTACAGGCATGCGCCACCATGCCCGGCTAATTTTTCTCTATATATTTTTAGTTGTCCAGATCATTTCTTTCTGTTTTTTTAGTAGGACAGGGTCTCGCTCTTGCTCAGGCTGGTCTCGAACTCCTGACCTTGAGCGATCCACCCTCCCCGGCCTCCCAGAGTGCTAGGATTACAGGCGTGAGCCACCGCGCCCGGCCAGGTGTAGAGTTTTTAGGCAGTCTTTTTCAGTCTTTTTTCTAGTCTTCTTCCCTCGCTCGTAGTGGGATCTCGGGGTCCCCCTCCTTCGCCCAGTAGTTACCGGAATCTGCCAACTTGTGAGCGTGGCATCTTTTCCATTGTCTAGAACGTGGTCGTTGTTACTGTTCTTGATTCACAGTTGAGTAAACTGAAGCTCAGAGAACGATATCACAACCAGAGTTTAACCGAAGTCTGGATGATTAAGCTTGCCTACCCCACCCCCAACTCCCGCTATATTTTGGATCGGTGGGACTAGATGTATTCAATGTAAATGTACAATTTCTGGTATTTCTCTGTCTCAGCTTCCTAGTTTATGATTTGGCTTAATTCTTCCAGGGTTATTGTGATGAACTAAATAAGACCTGCGAATAAAGTGTTTAGCACAGTGCCTGCCACATTGTAGCAGCCCTCAAATGGTCACCATGTCACAATTTGTATTTCTAAAGCACTGTGAAAGCAGCTTTGGTGTTTTTATGTTTGCATCCAATTCTGCAGAGTTCCTAAAGATGTCAAGAGGATGCAGGTTGAGGCTGACATAAAACCAGCCAGTGTTGAAATGCAGACGACTCTGTTTGCTCTTTGATCATGAGCAAGTTTTTTTTGCTTCAAGCTTTGAGGTCATAGTAAATGAAATAATTTAAGTAAAGCATATGAACAAGAGCTGCTTTCTTTTAAATACAGAATAGTTTATTGCTTTGGTATAGATGTTTGTGCAGGTGTAGTTACCAGCTTTTGCATTTAAGCAGACTAAAGGAAAGAAGTGACTTTAGAAAGGTAATGAGTTTTTTACTCATCTTTGATGAATCTGAATTTTAGGAAACTCCTTATTACGTATATTTAAAAGAGTTTAAAGATAACTGTCTTTATAAGATAATGTAGTAATTTATTTGTGTATATGACAAAAGGCATGTATAAAAACTATCCTCTGCCCCAGAATGGAGAGCCATTCAGAAGCATTGTGATTGTGATCACTGACTTCAAGTCACCAGCATGTCCCAGTAGAAGCCAGTTTGATTTTTGTTTCTTACCATTCAAAATCATCAAAGCGAAAGTCTTAAAACCACTATGCATTGAAGTACCTTCTTTGTTTCAGTTCGTGGATTGGAAAATACCACAATAGGCTTCTTCCCAAGTATTAAATATATTACTCTAGGCTGTTCTCTATGCCTGTATTGGACCTAGAAGATCACGTTTCTGAACATGAACCCTAAACATGTAAATATAGTTGGTCCTTGAACAACATGGGTTTGAGCTGCGTCATCCACTTATATGCAAATTTTCTGTCACCTCTGCCACCCCTGAGACAGGAAGACCATTCTCTCCTCTTCCTCCTCAATCTGCTCAACATGAAGACAATGACAAGGATGAAGACCTTTGTGATGAGCCACTTCTGCTTAATGAATAGTAAATATATTTTCCTTATGATTTCCTCAATAACATTTTCTTTTCTCTAACTTATTTTATTGTAAGAATATAATATATAATACATAGAATATATAAAATATGTGTTAATTGTGTAATCAGAAAGGCTTTCTGGTCAACTATCAGTAGTTAAGTTTTGGGGGAGTCAAAAGCTATATACATGGATTTTTGACTGTGCAGGGGATTGGTACCCCAACCCCAGCATTGTTCAAGGGTCAACTATAATTTTGTAGAGGAAAATATTGTATTCAATACCCTAAAGCCCATCATTACTAGAAAGAACTCAGACGATACATTCTGTTCATCATGTATCAGTCAAATGTGCTGTAATTACTATATTACGTTTATTTTCAAGTTGATATTATTTCCTCTCTTGGATAAACATTATTAAGTCATAGGAATCTTTATTCAACAATACACAGAAGAGGACTTCAATTACCAGGTATATGCTAATATGCTAATAATATTCCTTCTCTTCTAGACCACTTGAAAAAGAGAATATATTTGTTGTTTTCAACTTCCGTACTGTCCATTTAGTTCCAGAATTTACTTTTGTAATCTGACCAGTGACCTACTGGTTTCTACACACTAAAAAATTCACCCATTCAGAGAGTTCAATTCCATTGTTTTTAATGTATCCTCAGTTACGCAACTATCATCACAATCTAAATTTAGAACATTTTCATCACCTCAAAAAGAAACATCATAAAACCATTAGCAGTCACTTCCCATTCTCTGCCACCCCTTACCCCACCCTAGGCAACCACTAATCTATTTCTGTCTATAGATTTGCTTGTCCTGGACTTTTCATATTAATAGACTAATACAATATGTGGTGTTTTGTGACTGGCTGCTTCCACTTAGAGTGTTTTCAAGGTTCATTCACGTTGTAACCTGTATCAATACTTCATTCCCTTTTATGGCTATATAATATTCTATTATTTGCATATATAACATTTTGTTTATCCACTTATCAATTTATGAACATTTGGGTTGTTTCCATTTTTTGGCTATTATGAATAATACTGCTATGAACATTTGTGTACAAGTTTTGTGTGGAGATACGTTTTCACCTCTCTTGGGTAAGGTATATACCTAGAAGTGGAATTGTTGGGTCCTATGGTAACTCAGTTTAACTTTTTGAGCAAGTATTAGATGTTTTCCAAAGTGCCTGTATTATTTTAGATTCCCACCAGCAATGTATAAAGTTTTCAGTTTCTCCATGTCCTTGTCAACACTTATTATTGTCCATCTTTTTTGTTATTACCCTTTCTAATAGTTGTAAAGTGGTATCTATCTCATTGTGGTTTTGATTTGTATTTGCCTAGTGACTAATGATGGTGAGCATCTTTCAAATATTTGTTGGTCATTTGTATATCTTTTTTGGAGAAATGTCTGTTCAAATCCTTTGCCAATTGTTTAATTGGACGATTTTTCCTTATAATGAACAGAAATTTCCTTTAACACCTGGAGCGAGCAAGTGTCCTAATCTTTGTCAAGGGGCTCTGCATGCTTTTTTTGTGCATGCCTTCAACATTCAGCTGTGCAATTTACATCCACCTTAAGCCTTCACTTTTTGCTTGCTGAGAGCTTTAAGATTAGCTATAGGTGAGAGTTTAGGGCCTTTTCAGGTCTTTCTTGAGCATATACATTGCTCTGGGCATACACACAGTTCTGTTCATGTGCATGACTTTCTAAATTCTCAGGTGAGTGTTTGAGCTTTTTAAAGTCCTCTATGGACACCTGATTCCTCACATTTTCTTTTTAAGCTTTTAGGTTAGCCTATTGTTAGCCATAACTCAGGCAGTTGTAATGTTAAACAATTGCCTCTGATTTTTTTCGACAAATACCTTCTGAGAGAAGTCTGTTTGTACTACTTGAATTCCAAAACAGGTAAACTAAAGACAGTCTTGTGAATTCTGGAAACCCGAACCACCAGATCAGTCAAATAATGACAATTCTCGGGAGTGGGATTTTAAGGAGCTCCAACCCCTCTATCCTCTCCAGTGGGTGCTAAGCTTTACATCAGACTTGCAGGCTGTAGGTTTTCACAGTTATCATGGAGCTGGGGTGGAGAGGAGAGAATAGTGCCAGTGAAAAACGCCACCAAGCTCACTGTTCTTCCTGAGAGTCAGTCGTTTTTCTTAAGTAAATGCTCCCCATGTTACTGCAGGACTTTGTGTAATTTCAGAGTTCTTAAAAAGTTAAGGTGACAATTTTTCATTGCTTTTATGGAAGAGAAGATTTTTGAGGATCCTTATTTCACCATTTCATTGAGGTCACCCATTGGTTCTTTTTTATATATTCTATCTTGGTGAGATTTTTAAGTTTTCCATTTGATTCAAGAAAATCTGTAGTTGCTGTTTGAAGCATTTTTGTGATGATTCCTTCAAAATCTTTGTCAGATAATTCCAACCTCTGATTTATCTCCGTGTTACCATCTCTTGTTAGTCTTTTTAAAGTCAAGTTTGTCTTAGTCTGTTTGTGCTGCTATAAAGGAATACCTGGGGCTGGGTAATTTATAGAGAAAAGAAGTTTATTTGGCTCACAGTTCTGCACGCTGTACAAGAAGCATGGTGTCAACATCTGCTTCTGGTGAGGGCCTCAAGCTGCTTCCACTCATGACAGATGGTAGGAAGGAAGCCTGCACGTGCAGAGGTCCTATGGTGAGAGAGGAGGCAAAAGAGGGCAGGGGAAACGTTGCTAGAATCTTTTTTTTAAACAACCAGCTCTAGAGGGAAGTAATAGAGTGAGAACTCACTCATTACCATGAGGATGGCACCAAGCCGTTCATGAGGGATCTGCCCCCATGACCCAAACACCTTCCACTAGTGCCACCTCCAACATTGGAGATCAAATTTCAACATGAAATTTGGAGGGTCAAATATCCAAACTATAGGAAAGTTGTTATTTTCCTGGTTTTGGGGGAGTTTGAGTATTAGAAACTGTTATATAACTATAGGAAACTATGTCCTAATTTAAGTCTTCTACTTTAGCAGGAGGTCACCATGTTTAAGTTTAGCATGTAGGTAGTAGCCTACTATTTCGGGCTCTCTCTCTCCTGATAATTTAGGTTCCAGAGTCTTTGTAATGCTAATGTGGTCTGCTTTGTTCACATGATGCTACTGGGATTCCTGCTTGATCATGTCTGTGTGGAATGTTGTAATCAACATACACATATTTTTTAAGCTATAGGATTGATTGAGATTATAAAGGAAGTGAATAGAGAAGAATACCAAGCATCATGCCCTAGGTTTGGGGTATACAGGAGGAAACAGTAAAGGAGACAAAGAGGGAATGACTCTGAAGTAAAAGAAAAACCAGATGTAAGGGAAGAGGAGGAGAGTCTGACCAACTGTATCAAATTTTGTTCATGAAATAAGAACAGAGTTAACCATTAGATTTAGTAATGTGTATGTCATTGATGGTTGGAATTTATCTAAGATAGTGTAGGAGGAGCAGCAAGTATAGACAACTCATTTTAGAAATTTTGCTATACACTGCAACAAAGAAATAAGTTAGTAACTGGTGGGGAAGTGATGTCTAGGAAAGTTTGTTAATAAGATAGAACAAATAATAGCATTATTTATGATGAATTGTTCAGTGGTAAGATTTCAAATGTACAGGAAAGGAGAGAATTGATGAATCAGTGTCCTTCAGTAGATAAAAGAAGATGGGATCTAGTGCACAAATGAAGATATTTAGTTAGAAGTGTGGATTCTGTGGCAAGCGGTAGGTGGTGCAGTGCAGTTCTAACACTACCTGCCCTTCCGGCCCCACCACCACACACTATCTATACACAGTCCTCCACAAAACTCCCCTTACTTCAGATACCAGGTGCAAGCTATGGGTTTCTCAGGCCACCCATCTTTCTAACCAACTGGTTACAAATTCAGGTGTTAAACTACCCTTTCAGGTTGAGTAATTCACGAAAATGACTCATAGAATTCAGGCAAACACTATACTTGTGATTACACCTTTACTGTACTATGTTTACTATATTTGTAAAGAATACAAGTTAGAAACAACCGAATGAAGAGACTCATAGGGTGAGGTCTAGGAGGGTACTTTATGTGGAGCTTCTGTGTCCTTTCTCCATGGAATCAGAGCATGTCACCTTCCCAGCACATTGATGTGTTCCTTAGCCAGGAAGTTCAATCAAGCTTCAGTCCAGAATTTTTATTGGAGTTTCATTATATTAATATAGGCATGGGTGATTGAACCACTGGGCACATGATTAAACTCAGTCTCCAGGCCTCCTCTTCTCCCTTGAGGTTTAGAGGTTGAGTTGGTATCCCATAGCTCAAAGACCTAGCCCTTAAGTCATATGTTTGGCCTTTCCAGCATGGCCAGGCTCTATCCTGAAACTATCTAGGGGCCCACCATGAGTCACCTCCAGTCTCAATCCATTTGCATAGCTATAAAGTAATACCTAAGGCTGGGTAATTTATAGAGAAAAGAGGCTTAATTGGCTCACAGTTCTGTAGGCTGTGCAAGAAGCATGGCACCAGCATCTGCTTCTGGTGAGGGCTTCAGGGTGCTTCCATTTATGACAGGACATGGGGGAGCCGGCATCACATGGCTAGAGGAAGGATGCGGGAGAGAGAGGGGAAAGAGGTGCCAGGCTGTTTTTAAACAATGAGTTCTCACAAAAACTGATAGAGTAAGAACTCATTTCCATGAGGATAGCACCAAGCCATTCATGAGGGATCCATCCCCATGACCCAAACACCTCTCACTAGGTCCCACCTCCAACATTGGTGATCAAATTCCAACATCATATTTGGAGGGGACAGATAATCTAGACTATATCACCTCTTTAGCATAAACTCAGGTGTTATCCCAGGAGCCCACCATGAATAGCAAAGACACTTAACATTCAGGAAATTCCAAGTGAGAAGCTCCTTCCCAGGAACCCAGGACAAAGACTAGGAAAATTCTTTATTATGCAATATGTGGGTACTGTGATTGCAGTAGTCCAAGAAAGAGATAATGGTGGCCTGAACTAGGGTATTAGAAGAAGATATTGTCAAAAGTTGTCAGATTCAAGAAATATTTTGAAAACAAAGATGACAAAACTGAGGATTGTATTAGATATATGGGGTAGGAATGAGGAGCTTAAGATGACTCCAAAGAAGTTGACTTCAAGAATCAGATGGAAGTAATTGACATTTACTGGGATGCAAAGACTGGTTAGAGCACGTTGGGGCAGGAAGAGTGGTGGAGTAAGGATCAAGAGTTATTCTTTTATGTTAATTTGTGTATATACGTGTTGGACTTTCAAGTGGAGATGTCAAATAAGAAGGCGGGCCTTCAGTTCAGGGTAATATTTCCTATTGAATACACATTTGGAGGTTATTAAGTTATGGGGGGTGTTTAAATCCATGGAACTGGATGGCATCACCTAGGGACTCAGTGTTGGTGGTTGAGAATGGGTAGAAGAGGTATAAAGGCTGAGTCATTCATGGTACCTCCAATATTTTCAAGATGAGAAGATAAGGAAGAATGAATGAATGAATAAAAGGAAACTGAGAGGAGGTGGGAAAACTAGGAGTGTGTCTTTTCATTGAAACTAAGAGGCAAGTTATTTTACTTATACAAAGAATTCTTATGTATTGACATCGCAGGTATTA